TTTAAGGATATGCATTCTTGGTGTGATTCAAACTTCTGCAGGAACATGGCTGTATAATAAGTTTATTTACTTTAAGGTTACTTGGGGGGAGGGTTTGGGGAGAGTTAACTGGCATCTAAAATAATACTTGTTAAGAGCATAGTAAATTTTTTTTTAAGTGCAGATGTGAATCTACACGTGTCATCATAGACAGACAGACAGACAGAATCTGTTGTTAAAAACATTTGATTCCTTTCTGATGAATTCAGCAGCCAGTATGAAAGACACAGGCCTCTCTGGTAAACCCTTGGGAGAATCTTTGTGTGTTTTTTTTAAGTATAGCAATTTTTCTTTAAAAATAGAACACTTGGTTCATTTCTTGAAATTTAGCTCTGGACTCTATGCGGGAAGTTTGTTCAGTAGGTAGGTGGAGTTTCTTCTCCCCTCCTCTCCCCGGCCTGTCAGTGTTTACCCACATTGACCATATTTTCTGAACCAAAAAGTTGAGACCCGTGCTTGCAGAAACATTGAAAATGCTCCAGATAATATAGGCTGTATGATAATGTCTACTTTATCGGGTGGTGAAAAATACGATGCTTGAACAGAAGAGTTTTTGAAATGCAAAACTTGTTTCACCCCATGCCAATGCGTAGTTAATGAAAAAGGGGCAAATGAGCCAGAAAGGGCCTCCAGAATATTGACAGATTTAATGAGAAAATAAAGGACTACCATCATGCCAGGAGGTTGTGATTTCCAGTTGTTAAAACTGTTTTGTGTGTGTATTTTGGCTGGAGATTGGGAATAAAATTAGCCTAAAACTCTTTTAAAGTAATTGCACCCTATTTTGTCTCTCAAGTACTTTAGCAGCTGGGAGATTTTCTAAAATTAATCGCAAGCTGCCTTTTAAGGCTCCCTCTGCCTTCTTATTGAAACTAAAATTGTTTTCTTCAAAAGGTATGATTTAGAGACAGAAAGCCTTGCAGTAATTTACTAGTAGTAACACTAAAATGCCTTTGATCTCAGGAGGTAATACAAGCTTGCTCTGCTTTTACAATATGGAGAAACAGAGTAGGTAAAAGGTAAAACTTTACAAATATGTAGAAGAAGATGACACATGGTCAACTATTCTTTTCCCATATCAGGAAAGATACAGGCGAGAGATTCCAAGTAATTCCAGATTTTATAAGGATTTTGAAGCCACAGTTTCAAGTAAGAACCAGACGTTCTGTCTGGTTAATTCTGTATCTTTGGTGTCTAGCTCTGTGCCTGCCACAGAGTAGGTACTTGATTTGTTCTGGAGGTTGATTCATGTTATGCAAGTGCAGTTTTTCTTAATAAAGTCAAAGCAGGTTTCTACATTTAGAATGAGAGAGAGGTCCTGACCTGACAGCCATCAGTGGTAGTCTACTTGGATACTCCTTGGTGGGTGTGTTCACTTAGAAAACCAAATTACAGATCTGAAGGCTGCTGGGTGGGGACAGAATTAGAACAAAGGGAATGAGATTGAATGTTATTTAAGGGATATTTCTGTCCTCAGGGTTTCCTGATGGAGTGCCATTCGGTCTATCAGTGCTATTTCTTCATTTTTTGCTCATTGTTGTTTGCTTATTTATGGTTTTAAAATGCTCCTTAGATTAGAGCATTATTTTCCTGATTTAATACTTGAGGATCCTAATAAGATCCTACTGTATAGCACAGAGAACGCTACTCAATATTCTGTAATGACTTACATGGGAATAGAATCTAAAAAAGAGTGGGTATATGTATATGTATAACTGATTCACTTTGCTGTACAGTAGAAACCAACAACATTGTAAATCAAGTATACTCTAATAAAAATTGATTTAAAAATACTTCAGGATCTCTGGTTCTACAAAAATAATTTTTTCCCTATGCTTATTCTGTGCAAGGTACTGTGCTACATACTGGAGTTAGAGAAAGATTTAGGAGAATCTTTATCGAGAGATTTTTACAATCTTTTAAGATTGTTAGGTAATGACAAATTCATATTCCTCCAGACCCCCTTTAAAACATTTCTGCCCATTGCTGAAAGCATCTGTTATTACTTCTCTTACTTCAAAATGGTATTTCCACATGTGGTTATTTTATGCTAGTTATATTTTAGGGTGGCTATTTCCTGGCATCTTTTAATCACATCAGTGAGCTTCTAATTAATGCTCAAGAGAGGTTATTTCAGCGAGGGTGCACACAAGTGGTAGTTCCCCCATTACCTGTACCTCTCTTCTACCTAAAGCAAAGAAACTGCCAGACAGACTAGACTCAGTGCCTTTGTCAGTTTCATGTAGCTTTGAATTCATTATAGTTCTCCAGCATAATAAATAAAAAAGTAAACATCTCTGCCTTCCACTTCTATTATATCACTGAGAATACAAAAAGAACAACATGTTAGGTCCAAGCTGGAGTAAGTAACACAATTAAATTATGTTCTGTCATTTCAGAAGTCAGAGGAAAATAGAGTATGTTTTAAAATATCTTTCTATCAGAAATTGCTATCGTGGACAAAGTTTCGATAGTCAAAAGGAATATGCCATCTCCTTCTCTATAGACACAATAAAATGAAGGAATATGGTGGTTGCATACTGAGGTTTAATAATGATCAGAATGTTATTACTCTATATTTGGTTTTCATGTGTATGATGGTTTTTTACCTCCAGTTTTTAGAGCTAAAAGGTAATCTTCTCTAAGATCAAGTGAAGCCCCCCATTTTACAGATGAGAAAACTATGATCTGGAGAGATGACTTGGGCAAATTAAATGTAGTTAGAGCCTGTGTCACATTACTCCCTCTTGTTGTGTATGCTGTGTATCTTTTACTTTGTCACACTCCTAGAACTGAGTTGTCTTTTTGCTTTTTAAAGAAAGTAGGAGAAACAGATTGGTATGTGCATGGGGAAAGGTGTATTTAAACCCAAGAATTTCACTCATCAGAAGTTGCTAAAATCTTACCACAGTGCCATGTGGATTACTTTGTTCTTTTTAGCAACTACAGATGTTGTTGCTGGATTGATTTCTGCATATAAACACTTACTAATAAAGTGTTTGATGTATGGCCTTTCATACATTCAAAGCAAAAACAGTGAAGATGTGCCCTAAGGGGAATCAAGTACTTTACCTTGAAGGAACTATTAGTAATTTTCAGAAGTGTTGGGTACTTTGGTGATGATGCTTTAAAAGTATGAATATTTTAATTGATAGGTTTAAAATATGGTAATCTATGCTTAAGAATATTTGACTCTAGAATCATATACTTCATTAAAACTAAACATAACAATTTCATCAGCTTTCAGTTTATTAGGGAAATGTTTTCATACAGGGGATTTAATATTTTAATAATTGGCCCACATTAGCTAATATCAATTTTGCTTCAGTCACACTTAGAAGAAAATCCAGAGTGTGTACCATGGCCTATAAGAGCTTCCATGATCAGTTCCCTGACCTCATCTCTCATTTTCTCCTTTGCTCACTCTGCTCAATTCATACTGGATCTTTACTGTCTCCAAAACACGTCAGACACACTTCCACATCACAGATTGCATTTGCTCTTTCCTCTACCTAAAATCTGCCCCCTACAAATAGCCACATGATCCTCTTTCCTACCTCAGATAAGTCTTCATCAAATATTACCTCATCAAAGTGGCCATCATTGATGATTCTATCTAAATAGCACTCCCACCATCACCCATATCCCCACCTGTCACTATAACCCAGGGTTCTTTAACTTCAGCGTTACTGACGTGTTGAGCTGCACAATTTTGTGTTGCAGGATGGGAGTGGGAGTGGGGGTCATATGCACTGGAGGATTTTTAGTAGCATTCTTGGCCTTTATGCACTGAATGTTCCCTGGAGGGCAAAATAGCCCCCATTCTAACCCCTTACCCCTCTTTATTTTTCTTCATAGCACTTATGCTATATGTTACTTGCTTATTAGTTGTCATGAGAAGGTGAGCTAAAGACTTTGTTTCATTGGTTGTAGTATCTCCAATCTTAGGAACAGTATCTGGTGCAATTTTATTTTATTTTTTGTTTTGGTACAGTTTTTAAGTAATATATCAAGTAGATTAACTTCATAGTATATCTTCTTGAATGGTGTTGGCATCCTCTTGAGTCATTTCTCTATTCAGATTGTTTCCCTCTATTATAATTAAATTTATATATGAAAATCAGTGGAGGAGCTAAGGAATAAAAAGCATTTCTGAACATTTAAGTATATGAAATTGCTGGTGAAAGTCCAACTGTCTTTACTAAAAAATTACACCTCAGGACATTAGCCCTCTTTTCGAATAAATTAACTTTTAGTCATTGATCAGTTTTTTTTTTCGATTTTTAATTGTTTCAGAATAAGCATTATCAGCACTTAGATACAGTCTGTTAAAATTATGAAAGCACAAAAAATTTTTAAATTATTTGTAGACTTCATTTAAACATTTGCATTATTTATGACTGCATTTATTTTTATGAACACTGTATTTGTTTTGGATTAACACTTATTTACATTAACTCTTGAAAAAATTGGCACTCAAGAGGATAGCATAATTTCAGGTGTTCTATATAATTAGCATTAATCACAAACTGTTATCTTTGACAAAGGGGAGAATAAGGGGCATAAAACTCCTAAATAGCTACAATAGGAATTGTTTTATACCATGGCAGTGTTTTATTGGTGTATAATCTGTTCTGAAGTCCTGTCAGCTTTATGATTTAATGATAATTTTATTAGACAACTATGCTTTCCTAATATTAGGGATGCTATTTTTTTTTTTAGGGATGCTATTTTTACTTATACAGTTCAAAATACAAGAAACATGATGTAAGCCATGCCCTTTCAGTTAATATTTGCATTTCCCTTTCAGACCTCTTTAGGTAGCAAACAATAAGATAGGATAATATTGTATTTAGGTGAGCTTATGAGCTTTAAGCTTTAAGAAATGAGCCTAAAATGAAGAAAAATATTCTATAGGTTAACTTATTTCCATTTTTGCTTGTTTCTCCCTTATCAAAAAGACCTCAACAGCAATGGATTCATTTGTGACTATGAACTTCATGAGCTTTTCAAGGAAGCTAATATGCCATTACCTGGATATAAAGTGAGAGAAATTATTCAAAAACTCATGCTGGATGGTGACAGGAATAAAGATGGGAAGATAAGTTTTGATGAATTTGTTTATGTAAGTATGTGGAAACCTACCATTATTAGAAGTAATGATTGCTTCTTTGTCTTGTGGGATCTTTTAGTAATAAGTCCTATTAAGTTCCTAAATGTATCATAGTAGTATTGTTATAAGTAATAAAATTTCTCTCATCTCACCCACTACATTTAGTTCATTCTTTTAGCCGTTAGAATACCTTAAAAAAGAACTGAGAAAAAAAACACAGACAGAATCAAAGATATAACACTCCGCTTGCTGTGTAAGGTGAATAGTCTCCTTAGAGGGGGCATCATTAAAGGACACTTTTCAAGGTGTGAAATCACATCCTTGAAGTGCTCTTTCTATAGGTGAGCAGTGTGGTCCCAAACGTTAATGATACACCCTGACTCACAGTCTTGGAAGCTTTCTGAGTTCAACTTTCTGATTAAAAACATGTTTGCTAATCTTGTGGTAGTAGTAGTTAACTGTACCATTTTCCCTAGGATGATGATTTTGATAATTAAAAGTTAGAAGCATATCTTTTTAATCCATTGGAAGGGGCAGTTAAAATTCTTGTTTTCTTCTCTAGTATCATCAAATACTCTTCAAGGTTAGAGGCTGATTTCTTAATTCTACCCCCAAGCACCTAGTGTTCCATACTCAGTGCTTAGCGAGTATGTGTGTGGTACTCATTATTGAAATTTAATGCTTTTAGCTGCTAGCTAGTGGGGTCAAATTTTTTCTGGACATAGGATATTTTCCATCCATATTCACTGACAAAGTATTTGAGATTGATATTAAAGAATAGCTGTTTCCTCAATTAAGAACACTCTTAAGATTTCATCATTTTATTATTCATTTAAGACTGAGTTTGACTGGATCTTATTTGGCATTCCTTATGTGTATTACAGATAGTAATTAGTGCCTAATATTATCACAAACTTCCTAGCACTCCTATCATCTTTTCTAGGGTTTGTTTTTGCCCCAAGACACCTGAAATGATAACATATACTCCCATCAATAACCACAGCTCAATATAGCAAGTGAAATTCTGATATGTTTTCTTCTATTAGAATTGGCCCCTTTAGAACACCTGGAGAGTTCCAGAAACAAATTGACTAAGTAATGACGTCTGCTCTTCTGATAGCATTTGCCTGGGGGTGGGGCAGGGAGGAAGGGAGCATTACTGTTTTAAAATGCACAAGGGTCAGAATTATAACGCTATTATAGTTCATGCCATCTTCTTTTGCAATACTGATTTCTTCCCCATCATTTTTTGTTTCCAGTTATTGCCAAAGCCTTTTGTTTTAAATCCTGTGTTCAATAGTAAGTTGCAATTGACTTGCAATGTGAGCACTTGCATGTCCTCTGATGTATAACTTGCCCCCCTTGTAACTGCATGTTTAATTGTGAACTTAAAGCAGCTTAGAATGGTGGCGAACTACGATTGCTTACTTTTGATATAGTTTGCTGCTCAGAATTTTTTAATCTATTAGGAAGAACAGACTTAAAAAATTGAGATGTGCAGTGTGCCAGTATTTTAAAGGAGGCAGTTATGAAACTGTCTTTGAGAAAAATCATCTTAGGGAAATTTTTGTATATTTTGAAATGTTGCTGATTCCACACAGCTGTTTGTGGCTGTGACTAACCTAGTATTTTCTTAAAAAATGAATTATAGGCATCATAATTTTGGCATCACCCGGGACTTCTTTAAAAATAAAATACTAATGAGAGCCATATTGGTTAATATATATATATATTTTAGAATTGGAAGAAATCAATATATTTATACTCCTTCATTTCTCAAATTAAAAAAAAAAAAAAAAGCCCGGGTTTCTCAAAAAGGAAGTGACTTGCCCAACATTACACAGGGAGCTAGTGGCTTTGTCAGTTACCCCTCTTGTTCAAAAAATTGGAAAGGAAGACAGTAAATAACTCACCTGAAGTTTCAGAATGATACCACCATGACTGTACTGAAAGAAAGATGGGTGTGTGATTAACCAAGCAGACATCTGTCCACTCCCCTCTGCCTTGTCATCAGTGAAACCTCTTACAAATCATTAGACAAAATATGGTAGATTCCAGTTATCTGAGAAAAAGGAAGTGTTGCAGGAAGGGGGATCCCTTCCAGGGCCCGAAACTGGGCTCTTGTCTAACACTCAGAAAAGAATCATCCGAGGAGACACATGTGCTGACAAAGCAAGAGATTTTATTGGGAAAGGGCACCCAGGTGGAGAGCAGTAGGGTAAGGGAACCCAGGAGGACATCTCTGCCACATGGCTCAAAGTCTTGGATTTTATGGTGATGGGATTAGTTTCCAGGTTGTGTTTGGCCAATCATTCTGACTCAGAGTCCATCCTGGTGGTGCACGCCTTGTTCAGCCAAGATGGATGCCAGAGAGAAGGATTCTGGGAGGTGGTCGGACATGTGGTGTCTCTTTTTGACTTTTTCTGGTGGTGGCTTCTAAGTTCCCTGTTCCTTACCAGGACCTCCTATCGTAGAACAACTCATGAAAATGGTTATTATGGTGCCTGGCCAGGGTGGGCTGTTTCAGTCAATGTGCTTCCCCTAACAGAAGCACGTTATTCCTGTTAGGGATTGACATAAGGAAATAGAAATAAACATGTTCTTGCATGTTAGATTTTTGGTTTTTATTTAAATTGCTACTTAAAAGGTATTAATTGCAAACCAGGCTACCAACAAAATGTCTGTATTAATTTTGGAGGAGGATATAATATATGGCAAAAAAGAGTCCCCAAATTATATGTAAACTTCACACATTAAAATTAAATATATATTAACTGATCTTGTTTCTCTTGAGTATTTCAAAACTAAGTTACTAGATTTTTATACTTCTTAGATTGTAGTAAGGTATTTTCCTGCATCTGTAAAAAGACTGGTATATCATAGAGATAAGTAACTTCATATAAGCAAAGTGCTTAGAACTGTACCTGGTTTATAGCAAATACTATAGAAGTGTTAGTTGTGGTAGTTATTTCTATTTATTAAATGGGCAGTGTTCTCTTCCTATTATTACTAAGTTTAGGCCTACAACAGATTCCTAAAAAGTAAAAATTCAAACCTACTATATTGGAAACAAACCTCAAACACTGGAAGCCAGTCATAGTTTTTTGCAATTCTTTTTGAAATCTTTCCTTCTTAAACTCCTATGTCACTGCATTGCTTTGGTTTGGCCACTAGTGTTGATCTAGGAAGGTGATGACACTTTTAAAAGGAATACAGGACATATATGTTTCATAAAAGAGACTGGAAAAGATGTATAGAACCAAAGAGAGCAGTGTACACCAGGAGTTTGTTCATACACGATAAAGCAAGTCCCTCCTCCTGAAGGGAAAACAGCATGAAACAGTGAGCTCATTAGTATCACAACAGGCAGCTTTGAAAAGATTCATTGACAACTCTCCAGCACAGTAGTTGGCCTGGTGTTTTCTCTGATTTCAGAGATTCTTGTTAAGCCAAGGCTTATACTCAAATTGCCTTATCATCCACTGGAGAGATTTCTTTACTAAAGTAGAAAATAAAGTGTTCTTTTTCATGTGGTGAATCCATTGAACAAATACGTAAATCTTCAGTCATCTCCTATCTTAACATTTGTTTAAAATCTAAAGAACAGACGAAAATACTATGAAACTGCAAATTTGCACTTGGCTGGAAGAATTTATTTAAAGATATTTAGAAAAGCAACGCCATGTAAATTTTGTAAGACAATTGAAAATGTAACTAATTTAATTGCATCTTTGCATTCAACATGTCATTCCCAAGCATCAAGAGTTTAAGTAGAGCTATGTAAGTAATTGCATTAGAATATTGTACAGCAGATTCTTTTTTAAAATGATTATTATTTGTATTACTCCTCTTTTGCATTATGTATACAAATTTGGGTTTTTTCAGCTGAAATTGTGATCACGGAAGCAACCTAATTTTAGAAGGTAATGATCCTTAAGACAGAGAAATAATTGTAATAAGAAAAGTAACTTTTCATATGTCATTCTGAGGCAGTAACTCCAAGGCAATCACATTGGGAGCTTTTTTCTTTGTCATTCCAGTGATTTATAGTATCTCAGTGTTGAGGAAAAGACTTAGATTTTTTATTTGAATTTACTAGACACTGTTTTAAATGAAGTAGAGTTCAGAATGAGGTGGGATAGTGAATACTGCTTTTTCACTGAGCAGATGGACAGTTACCAAAGAGGGACCTGTTTGAACAAAATGTATCACAATGAAAACTGCTACATTCCCAAGCAACCATTTTGTTGTATAACCTTGGCTTGGATGGTAAAGTGAAATAAATGAAATTCCAGTTGAAATCAGAGTGTGAGTAAAAACGATTTTAATAATTTGAAAATTACCCAGAGTACATGAGTCAGCTCCACACTATTGATACTTAATAAGAGTCAGTATAATGGCCAGAGAGAAGGAAGAGTGATTTCATTGGTAGTCAGTATGCGTGTGTCTATAATACATAAATAGATGGAGGCGTGCACACACACAAACACACACACCCATTCTAAAAGTCCACCTCTGAAATTACAGGCATAGCACAAAATCACAGCTGTGGAAAGTGAATAAGCTTGATTTTGTAAAACTTCATGCTTACCATTTTCCTAAATAAAATCGGGTTTATAAGTCCAAGGAAGGCCAGGATTTAAGGATGGTAACAGGAAAAGATGACTTTGTAACAGGGTTGCAGCAACTTTCCTACTGGTTACAAAAGTCACTCTCTCTTGGTCAGTTAATTACAAAAAGATGTCCTCCTGGAAAGACTAAATGTGAAAAGGCACTGGTGTTTCTGCCTGCCACAGTCTTGCATAAGACCCCAGGCCTGCTTAGGGGGGTGTGGGCTGCATTTCATGCCTGCTCATGCCTGCTGTCACAGACACAGCCTGAACTGCTAGATACCACGACTCTGTTCTGTGACCTTCACATATAGGCTACCCCTCCTGAGGTGTGTGTATGAGTATGTACTAGTCAATAATGCTAAAGGCCCTGGGTTATCTTCTATTTGCTCAGTGACTTTTCTATTAGGGCTCTAAGTTTCCTTCAACAAGCCTGGTGTGTTTCAAACACCTTTTAAAGGAGTTTTTATGAAAATACTACATCTTGCTCTTGTTTTTCTGGTGGTGGCTAATTTAGCCATGCACATTGATAGCTCACGAACACATTGGAAGTTAGGTAAGTTCCAGTATTTCAGACTTACATTGGCAGACCTTTGGAATGTCCAGTCATTCAGTCAATCGATTAGAGTAGGGTGTGAAATTTGCTTTGTTCCATCCTGCTTTTGTGCCTTATTGTGAAGAAAAAATCATTGAAAAGCCTCTTTTCTGGGTTTATTCATCTCCTGCTGCCAACTAAGCATATTTTCCCTCTTATTATTCTGTTCTAGCTGTTACCAAGCTACCCCAGGGTAAGAAATAGTTTTTTTGGTTGAGCCATAAAATTTCCATATTTCTTTGCACTGTGTATCGTGCTTAAAGAAGGGGGAAATCCTTCAGTCGTTTCTTTGCAGGAAAAGAACAGAGTCTTCCTTGTTCTAGAAAATTAATAGATTTATCTATGCTTTTGAACTATGCTAGTTTTTGACTTAAAGCAGATTTCAATGCATGTGGCATTTAATATTTTTGACAAGTGTGTACAGTTGATTTCTGGTGCTTCATTTTTGGTGGCAGTATTGAAGTACTTGTTTAGCATTTTAAAAACTCAAGCTTAGTTTGCCTTATCTTTTAACACTCATCATCTGTGGGGGGAATGTAGGTTACCAGCATATAAAAGAAGATAAATATGCTTATAGTTGTGCCAGATTGAAAATTGTGAATCAGCAACATGTTTTCATTAATAGATTTTCCAAGAGGTAAAAAGCAGTGATATAGCCAAAACCTTCCGCAAAGCCATCAACAGGAAAGAAGGGATTTGTGCTCTGGGAGGAACTTCAGAGTTGTCCAGTGAAGGAACGCAGCATTCTTACTCAGGTAATGGTTAACACAGTGAACTACACAGGGTGCCTGCTATAATGTCAAGGAGAGGCTCTAGAAAGACCCTGCCTCCTAGGTAAGAATACAGTTGAAGTTGTTGTGATCTGTATTTGGACTGGGGCTAATACTTGCCATAAAAGCATTACAGGTATTTATTATATAGCTTTGTTAGCTTGTAAGAGTCATGATACAATATGTGCACAATATTGATATGATACAACACATGATACAATAATAGGCTTTATTATAGCAGTGTGTGCTAAGTCGCTTCAGTTGTGTCTGACTCTTTTGCGACCATATAGACTATAGCTCCCCTGGCCATGGGATTCTCCAGGCAAGAATACTGGAGTGGGTTGCCACACCCTCCTCCAGGGTATCTTCCTGACCTAGGGATGGAACCCACGTCTCTTTTGTCTCCTGCATCAGCAGGTGGGTTCTTTACTACTAGCACCACCTGTGGTAATATAAATAGAATTTTTAAAGAATTTTGTAATTTCTGTAAAGATCAGTTAACCTTGCTGTATTTCTTCGTTAATTTTATAGCTCCTAAGAGCTAGTGTGTTGCATTCAATTGTTTGGATTTCCAAAGAGGATAACACAGGCTTATGACACACTGATTGCAGTGCTCATGAACAGCTATTTCAGGCTTTAGAGTCAAATATTTAACCTATAGTATAAACTAATGTCTTCTTATTCCACATAATTTTAGAGGAAGAAAAATATGCTTTTGTTAACTGGATAAACAAAGCTTTGGAAAATGATCCAGATTGCCGGCACGTCATACCAATGAACCCAAATACCGATGACCTGTTCAAAGCTGTTGGTGATGGAATTGTGCTTTGGTAAGATTTCCAAGAGTAGTCTTTCATGTAATTGCTGCAGTCATTTCTGGATGCCTGACAGATTCTTCTTGGGGAAAAACTAGAATTGAAAGTTGTCTAGGTTCTGTCCATTTCATCTTTAGGTCTGTCTGTGAAAGTGCCACCAAAGATGAATCTAAAACTCAGTCATTCAGACTGGACACCTCTTCCTAGAGGAGCTTTAAGCTTTCAGTTTCTTCTCATCACTGAGCAAGCTACACATTTCAACTTCGTTAAGCCTTTTATGTTAGTATCTCTTTATTCTCAAGTACCATAAATTCCAAAAGAGAAAAACAGGCCACTTGTCACTTTTCAATCTCTGATTACTTATTTCTGAAAAATATGTTTGTCACTGCTGCTGCTCTAGACCCAACAGTGCCTCAGCCAGAAAGGTAAAAGATTATCAACAGCTTGTTGGTAGATTTACTACCTCTTTTTTTGAGGTAGTGGAGCACAGTGGTTAGCAGCATACTCTACAGTCAGTCTGCCTGGATCCTTTTCAGTCTCTGCCTCTCAGTAGCTGTATAACTGTAATCAAGACACTGACCCCTTTGAACTCTCCTATACTATTGGTGGGAATGTAAATTGGTGCAGCCACTATAGGAAAAAGTATGGAGGTTAAAAAACTAAAAATAGAGTTACCATATGATCCAGCAATACTACTCTCAGGCATAAGTCTGGAGAAAACTAAAAGAGATACATGCACCCCAGTGTTCATAGCAGCACTGTTTTATAATAGCCAAGACACAAAAATGACCTAAATGTCAGTTGACAGGGAATGGATAAAAAGATGAATGGAATGCTACTCAGCCATAAAAAGAATGAAATTATGCTATTTGCAGCAACATGAATGGACCTAAAGATTATCACACTAAGTGAAGTCAGAGAAAGTCAAGTACTACATGATACCACTTATATATGAAACTAAAATAAATGAACTTATTTATAACACTAACAGACTCAAGGACATAGAAAACAAGCTTATGGTTACCAAAGGGGAAAGGGGAGGATGGTAAATTAGGAGTTTTGCATTAGCAGACACACACTATATATAAAGTACACTATACACTATATGTAAAACACTATAGTGTTTTATAGTGTATATAGTATATATATATATAGTGTATATAGTGTATATGTATATACACTATATATAAAATAAACAAGGTCCTACTGTATATCATAGGGAACCATATTTAATATCCTGTAATAAACCATGTGTGTGTGTGTTCATTTGCATCTGACTCTGACCCCATGGATTGTAGCCTACCAGGTTCCTCTGTCCATGAAATTCTCCAGGCAAGAATACTGGAGTGGGTTGCCATTTTCTTCTTAAGTAATAAATCATAGTAGGGAAGAATTATTAAAAGAAAAAAAAAGGTACTTGACTGCTTTGCATTTCAGGATCCATCCATTATGATCCCCATATTATTGTGCTTGCTCAGAAAGTTGTTGTGAGCATTAAGTAAGTACATATTGGAACACTTAGGACAGTGCAGTGGGTATATTTCTGATGACAATATACAATATATAAAATTCATTATTTTTCCAATACAGTCATTTTAGTTGTTTAAAAGGATGATTTCTAAAAATGTGAGATACCCTTTTACTTGCCACTTATAGGCTGTAAAGGCTGTAAAGAAATAATTTCCCATATATTTTAATAGAGAGACATATGATACTATTTATTTAATATTTAAATTTTGCATGGAAATAAGCATGGTTTTCTCTATGCAAAATAACTTGTTTTAGGGCAGTAGTATAAACATCTAAAATGTTAGAGTCTAACTCCAAATTTTACCAAATGAGGTTGTTCTAAGTCAGATCCTGCCCTAATTAATACAACTTTTCTTTCTATCGATATTATCACTGTATTTCTAGCACCAAATATAGTACCTGTGCATCATCTAGGTACTCAATAAATATTTGGTGAATGAAAGAATCTCATGCTCAACTCATTTTCACTCTTTGTAGATGCAATCATTTTAATTATACATTATATAATCTAACAGAGAGATTCAGATTCAATGTGGGATGTTATCTGCTTTTAACACTTACTCAACAAAGTTTTTAATATCCAAGTAATTCATTCTTGTAAAAGAATGTGAAAAGTACAAACCATTAAATAAGAGAATATGCCCTAATCCCCAACTCAGAAATATTCAACTACTATAAACACTTTGGTCTTTCCTTTATTGCATTTTTATATGTATGGTTTTTTTTTTTTTATCAACCTGACTAAAGTCATACATTGCTGTTTTTTTCAGATTACATGAGATACATGTTATAATAAGCCTTAAAATATTTGTGAATACTTATGGATTATTTAAAAAATAAGTCAATATTTTAAAATTTCTGTTTCAGTAAAATGATCAACCTTTCAGTTCCTGATACAATTGATGAGAGAGCAATCAACAAGAAGAAACTCACACCATTCATCATTCAGGTATGCACTCTTCTCTCCTTCCATGAAACTATTATTTGAGGACCTGTTTTACAGACTGAAGGCTCTGCATTTTGCATCTTCTCATTTAACTCTTACAACAGCTCTGAGTTGAAGATTATTTTCCAGATTTCATAGAAGCTGAGATGCAGAAAGATTTCAGAGCTGTACCGAGGTTAATAATGCTGGAACTAAAGTTCAAATCCAGGTCTAACTGCAAAGCCCTATATTCTTTTCATTACATTTTGCGTTCAAATAAGCAAGCATGTTTAAGCTGTTAGTTAATTAGCTTGCTTAAAGAATAGAAAGCTTTTATTTTCCATCTAGTATTAGGGTGTTATATAGCAGTATATCCTCATGCAAGACCATCTCTTGGGATGAGATTCAGAACTCCTAGAACTCTCATGTGTGTTCAGTAGACCTCTCATTTAGGCATTTTAAGAAATTCAACACATAACCCACATGGATATACTTACTCTAGTAACTCAGCCTTTTCCTTTAGGGTTGGTATCTTTCAATAAGGACTAACTAAAAATGCTGTTAACTTGACTTGGAAATCTGAAAAAGACTATAAAAATGAGGTTAGATTTGTTTTAGCTATGCTTTTAACACTAAAGCTTGGATATTGCTTTCTGTGGATCCTGTACGGGTAAACTTAATACCTAATTTCATTACTGAGTGTTATTTCAGTGAAAGGAGAAAAAGACTGTAAAAAACCAGAAAGGTCAAGAGGCATGTTATAAATTGGCTGTCTTGCAGGAAAACTTGAACTTGGCACTGAACTCAGCTTCTGCCATTGGATGTCATGTTGTGAACATTGGTGCAGAGGATTTGAGGGCTGGGAAACCTCACCTGGTTTTGGGACTGCTGTGGCAGATCATTAAGATTGGTTTGTTTGCTGACATTGAATTAAGCAGGAATGAAGGTAATGAAACACAGTCATGATCTTGAAAATTGTTTATTGGTTATTTTTTTCTAGTCATGCAGACTATCATGCTTTCACCTAATTGAGGTGATTAGATGATAACTAGAATTAACAGAAGGTAATGTTATAGTGTTATTCAGGAAAACAACCTAATTATAACTTTCTTCTTTAATAATAATTAGCATTTGTCTGGCTCTTTAGGATTCATTTCACAATAAAGATACGAAAACCCAGAGAGCTTAAGAAATTTGTGCAAAGTTCTTTTCTGATCTACTCACATAGTCCCCACCCCATTACCACCCTCAGGCACTCCATCTCCTATTAATTTTAATACCTTTTCTATTCTATTATTGATTTAGGGCTCTTCAAAAATATTCTAACCTGCCCTTGATGGTCTCATATTTCCTGAATTAGCAGAAGCACCGTTTTTATATCATAGGTTTTGATACCACATCATAGACTTGTAGAATGTATAAGCATGTGTAATACAGTTGTCATAAGGTCCTAGGAAGTGCTACATTGTCCTCTCCTTTTGAAGTTTAAAATATTAAGCATCACTCCAAATATTCACATTTTCTTCTGGAAATCACCATATCAATCTTCAGTTACTTTGGGGGAAGAATATATATTGGGAGTTCTCAGTATTTCAGGGTCTCACAATACCTATCAACAGTCCTATTCTGCACATTTATCCAAGACTTTATGACACTTAAAATTTTCAGTCCACTCAAAGTGGCCTGTATTTGAACAAATAAAAATTTTCTAGTTGGTGGTCTCTTCAGAGCAGCATTGATCTTGTTAGAGTTGAAGTACATTGAACAAGGAAAGGAAGACAACAAAATTAAACTACATTGGCTCATGTAATAAGTCAAATGATTTATCTCTGACAAGGTCTCAGTTGCAGAGAGGTCAGACTGTTTAATCCTTTCCAGCCTTTTGACTTGGAGATGGAGAGCATGAGGAGGTTTCTGTACAAGTGACAATGTTACCTCTGCCCTAACTTAAATCTCTCAGTGCCAGAGTGACATGGTGTGAAGTGGAGTCTATGAAAGATGAAATTTGCCCATTAGAGATATTACTTAGACCTCTTTGGAAGTCAGGCAGTTTTAGTCTTCTTGTTCAGTGTAAATCTTTTATCTTATGGGAGGTAATTATTGCATAAGGACTATACAACTTCTCCATGAAGACAGTGCCTAAATTTAGATAGTTCTCTGTGTAGATGCCCAAGCTTCTACCTCTTATTTCTGGGGATATTTACCCAAAAACCCTTGGCTTCTTCTGCACATTCAACTCAACAACAAAAAATTGTTGAAGAGCCTTTACATGTTAGGTGCTATAGAAAATGTAAAGTTGAATTCTTTTTCTTTAAAAACAGGTATGGCAAAAACCACTACAATATTGTAAAGTAATTAGCCTCCAATTAAAATAAATAAATTAATTAAAAAACAGGTTTAATACTTCAAGAGTTAGTTATGCTTAAGTATAAATACCATAGGGTTTGAATACTCTTTTAATCAAAAGACTCCAAAGTTTTAAACATACTCCCCCAAGCCTCTGATTTTAATATTATTTAAGAACAATTTATGTAAATATATGACATAATGTGATAATGTTCAACTTAAAAGCTAGAACTTACTTGGTATTGGAATGTGAAGAATAATCAAGATGTTAAAATATGTAATGCTGTATATTCTCGTAATTAAGTGTTTCTATCTGTATCATCTTATAACTAATTATATACTTTTATTTATTTTTATTGTCAGACTCTGAGTACCTGAAAACCAGGAACTAGGACACAGTACTTTTTGAACCTCTGTTACTTACTTAACAGAGTGTCAAAAGACTCAATAAACATGTAATGACTGTTACCATTTAATATATTGATTGGGTTTTTCTTTTTTTCCTCTATAGCCTTGGCTGCTTTACTTCGAGATGGTGAGACTTTGGAGGAGCTTATGAAATTATCTCCAGAAGAGCTTCTGCTTAGATGGGCGAACTTTCATTTGGAAAACTCAGGCTGGCAGAAAATTAACAATTTTAGTGCTGACATCAAGGTAACTGTTTAGTTAAATACTTCAGTTCAGTTCAGTTCAGTTCAGTCGCTCAGTCGTGTCCTCTTTGCGACCCCATGAACTGCAGCACGCCAGGCCTCCCTGTCCATCACCAACTCGAGGAGTCTGCATAAACCCATGTCCATTGAGTCGGTGATGCCATCCAACCATCTCATCCTCTGTTGTCCCCTTCTCCTCCTGCCCTCAATCTTTCCCAGCATCAGGGTCTTTTCAAATGAGTCAGCTCTTCGCATCAGGTGGCCAAAGTATTGGAGTTTCAGCTTCAACATCAGCCCTTCCAATGATAACTGAGGACTGATTTCCTTTAGGATGGACTGGTTGGATCTCCTTGCAGTCCAAGGGACTCTCAAGAGTTTTCTCCAACACCACAGTTCAAAAGCATCAATTCTTCGGCGCTCAGCTTTCTTTGTAGTCCAACTCTCACATCCATACATGACCACTGGAAAAACCATAGCCTTGACTAGACAGACCTTTGTTGACAAAGTAATGTCTCTGCTTTTTAATATGCTGTCTAGGTTGGTCATAACTTTTCTTCCAAGGAGCAAGCATTTTTTAATTTCATGGCTGCAATCACCATCTGCAGTGATTTTGGAGCCCCCCCAAAAATAAATCAGCTACTGTTTCCACTGTTTCCCCATCTATTTGCCATGAAGTGATGGGACTGGGTGCCATGATCTTAGTTTTCTGAATGTTGAGCTTTAAGCCAACTTTTTCACTCTTCTCTTTCACTTTCATCAAGAGGCTCTTTAGTTTTTCTTCACTTTCTGCCATAAGGTTGGTGTCATCTGCATATCTGAGGTTATTGATATTTCTCCTGGCAATCTTGATTCCAACTTGTGCTTCCTCCAGCCCAGCGTACTCTGCATATAAGTTAAATAAGCAGGATGACAATATACAGCCTTAACTGTTTAGTTAAATACTTCAGGGGGACATAATAACATGGAGACTTCAGGCCAGCTTAAAGGAGGGAAAATCCTATGAGTTTTATCACCCAGCCTTGTTGCCTCTAGGCCCTGATGGTAGATTTCAGTAGAGAGACTGAGCCAAGTAAGAGCACCAGCACTAAGTCTAGCTTTCATTTTATGGAAAGGGGTTTAAGTATTATAGTGCTAACATTTTCTATTTTGCCTACCATTCAACATGCTGTACGAAAAGATCAGCAGTCATGACTTCTGTTCCTAACTGACTTTCCCAAGCCTCAGTGTACCTGTGTTAGTAAAGGCCTAGAAGAGAAAGGGCCTCAGGATTCCCCATCCCCTTTCTTATTTGGCTCCTCTTCTGTCATGTGCTCCCTCCTTCAGGCATTCAGTTCTTGGGGGTAGTTATATACTCTTATGTATGTCTGTATCTTCTACCTCAGCCCTGCCCCTATTTTTTAAATTTAAATATATTCTTAAAAATTTTACAATGTTGTATTTGTTTCTGCCATACCACAATGCAAATCAGCCATACATTCCCCTCCCTTTCTAGCCTCCTACCTCTCTCCCCATCCCATCCTTCCAGATCATCACAGAGCACCAGACTGGGCTCTCTGTGCTACACTGCAACTTCTCACCAGCTATCCATCTTACACTCGATAGTGTATATATATAGATGCTACTCTCTCCATTCATCCCACTCTTTCCCTCCCCCACTGTGTCCACAAGTCCATTCTCTACATCTGTGTCTCCATTCCTTCCCTGTAAATAGGTTCATCAGTGTCATTTTTCTTGATTCCATATATATGTATTAATCTACTAGATTTGTTTCTCTCTTTCTGACTGACTTCACTCTGTATAACAGGCTCTAGGTTCATCCACCTCACTAGAACTGACTCAAGTTCATTCTTTTTTATGGCTGAGTCATATTCCATGGCATATATATACATATTCTTTATCCATTCATCTGTTGGTGAACATGTAGGTTACTCACATGTCATGGCTGCTGTAAACATTGCTGCTGTGAATATTCAGCTTCACATGTAGCTCAGTCGGTAGAGTCTGACTGCAATGCAGGAGACCTGGGTTTAATCCCTGGGTTGGGAAGATCCCCTGGAGAAGGAAATGGTAACCCACTTCAGTATTCTTGTCTGGAGAATCCCATGGACAGAGGAGCCTGGCAGGCTACACTGAGTGACTAAGCACATGTGAATATTGGGGTACATGGGTCTTTTTCAGTTATGATTTTTTCAAGGTATATGCCCAGTAGTGAGGTTGCTGGGTCATATGGTAGATTTATTCCTGGTTTTTTAAGCAGTCTCCATACTGTTCTCCATAATGGCTTTATCAGTTTACATTCCCACCAACAGAATAGGAGGGTTTGCTTTTCTCTATATCCTTCCCAGCATTTATTGTTTGTAGAATTTTTGATGATGGCTATTCTGAATGGTGTGGGGTGATAGCTCGTTGTAATTTTGATTTGTGTTTCTCTAAGTATTAATGATGTTGAGCATCTTTTCATGTGTTTCTTGACCATCTATATGCCTTCTTTGGAGAAGTGTCTTTTGCCCATTTTTTGATGGGGCTGTTTGTTTTCCTAATATTGATCTATATGAGCTACTTATATATTCTGGAGATTGATCCTTTGTCAGTTGTCTCATTTGCAATTATTTACTCTCTTTCTGAGGGTTATCTTTTAATCTTATTTATTGTTTCCTTTGCTGTGCAAAAGCTTTTAAGTTTAATTAGGTCTCATTTGTTTATTTTTGTTTTTATTTCCATTACTCTAGGAGGTGGGTCACAGAGGATCTTGCTGTGATTTATGTCAAGGGGCATGCTGCCTATGTGTTCCTCTAAGCTTTATAGTTTCTGACCTGATATTTAAGTCTTTAATCTATTTTGAGTTTATTTTTGTCTATGGTGTTAGGAAGTGTTCTAGTTTCATTCTTTTGTAGCTGTCCTGTTTTCCCAGCACCACCTATTGAAGAGGCTGTCTTTTCTCCATTGCATATTGTTGTCTCTTTTGTCAAAGATAAGGTGCCTACAGGTGTGTGTAAGCTTATCTCTGGACTTTCTATCTTGTTTCATTGATCTATATTTCTGTTTTTGTGCCAGTACCATACTGTCTTGATGACTGTAAATTTGTAGTATAGTCTGAAGTTAGGAATGTTGATTCCTTCAGCTCTGATTTTCTTTGTCAATATTCCTTTGGCCTTTCAGGGTCTTTTGTGTTTCCATAAAAGTTGTAACTCTTTTTGGTTCTATTTCTGTGAAGAATATCATTGGTAGTTTGATAGGGATTACATTGAATCTGTAGATTGCTTTGAGTAGTATAGTCATTTTCACAATATTTCTCCCAATCCAAGAACATGGTATATCTCTCCATCTGTTTTTTGTCATCTTTGATTTGTTTCATCAGTGTCTTATAGTTTTCTGCATACAGGTCTTTTGCCCCTTTAGGTAGGTTTATTCCTAGGTATTTTATTCTTTTTGTTGCAGTGGTGAATGGAGTTGTTTCCTTAACTTCTCTTTCTTATTTTTCATTGTTAGTGTATAGGAATGCAAGGGATATCTGTGTATTAATTTTATATCCTACAACTATTCCATATTCATTCATTAATTCTAGTAATTTTCTGGTGGAATCTTTAGGGTTTTCTATGTTATCATTTAATCTGCAAATAGTTTTCTTCTTCTTTTCCAATCTGGATTCCTTTTATTTCTTTTTCTTTCTTCTCTGATTGCTGTGGCTAGGACTTCCAAATCTAGATTGAATAATAGTGGCAAGAGTGGGCACCCTTGTCTTGTTCCTAATCTTAGAAGAAATGCTTTCAGTTTTTCACTATTGAGAATAGTGTTTGCTGTGGGTTTGTCATATATGGCCTTTATTATGTTGAGGTAGGTTCCTTCTGTGCCTACTTTTTGGAGCGTTTTTATCATGAATGGGTGTTGCATTTTGTCGAAAGCTTTCTCTGCATCTATTTATATGATTGTATGACTTTTATCTTTCAGTTTATTGATATGGTTAATCACATTGATTGATTTGCATATGTTGAAGAATCCTTGCATCCCTGGGATAAATCACACTTGTTTATGGTGTATGATCCTTTAATGTGTTGTTGGATTCTGTTTGCTAAAATTTTGTTGAGGATTTTTGCATCCATGTTCATTGATGATATTAGCCTGTAATTTTCTTTTTGGTGGTATCTTTGGTTTTGTTCTCAAGGTGATGGTGGCCTTTTAGAACGAGTTTGGGAGTTCTCCTTCCTTTGCAATTTTCTGGAAGAGTTTGAGCACCATAGGTGTTAGCTCTTCTCTAAACTTTTGGTAGAATTCACCTGTGAAGCCATCTGGCCCTGAGCCTTTGTTTGCTGAAAGATTTTTATTGGAAGTAATATCAAAGTTTAGTATATACTAATTTTTTTCCATTTATTTTTATTAGTTGGAGGCTAATTACTTTACAATATTGTAGTGGTTTTTGCCATACATTGACATGAATCAGCCATGGATTTACATGTATTCCCCATCCCGATCCCCCTTCCACCTCCCTCTCCACCCGATCCCTCTGGGTCTTCCCAGTGTACCAGCCCCGAGCACTTGTCTCATGCATCCAACCTGGGCTGGTGATCTGTTTCACCCTTGAAAATATACATGTTCCGATGCTGTTCTCTCAAAACATCCCACCCTTGCCTTCTCCCACAGAGTCCAAAAGTCTGTTCTGTACATCTGTGTCTCTTTTTCTGTTTTGCATATAGGGTTATCGTTACCATCTTTTGAAATTCCATATATATGTGTTAGAATACTGTATTGGGCTTTATCTTTTTGGCTTACTTCACTCTGTATAATGGGCTCCAGTTTCATCCATCTCATTAGAACTGATTCAAATGAATTCTTTTTAATGGCTGAGTAATATTCCATGGTGTATATGTACCACAACTTCCTTATCCATTCATCTGCTGATGGGCATCTAGGTTGCTTCCATGTCCTGGCTATTATAAACAGTGCTGCAAACACAGACATTTCTCCAAGGAAGACATACAGATGGCCAACAAACACATGAAAAGATGCTGAAAGATTTTTAAGTCACAGTTTCAATGTTGGTGCTTGTGATTGGTCCGTTTGTGATTTCTAATTCTTCCTGGTTCAGTTCAGTTTTGGAAGGTTGTATTTTTTTAAGAACTTGTCCATTTCTTCCAGGTTGTTAATTTTATTGGTATATGGTTGCTCACAGTAATCTTTTATGATCCTTTGTATTTCTGCATTCTGTAGTAACTTCTCTTTTTTTGTTTCTAATTTCATTGATTTGAGTCTTCTCCCTTTTTTTCTTGATGAGTCTGGCTAGTGGGTTGTCAGTTTTATCTTCTCAAAGAACCAGCTTTTATTTATCTTTGCTATTGTTTCCTTCGTGTATTTTTCATTTATATCTTTATGATTTCTGTCCTACTAACTTCGGGTGTTTTTTTGTTGTTGTTGTTCTTCTTTTTCTATTTGCTTTAGGTGTAAAGTCTGGTTGTTTATGATGTTTTTCTCATTTCTTGAGGTAGGCTTGTATTGCTGTAAACTTCCCTCTTTTGCTGTGTCCCATAGGTTTGGGGTGGTCATGTTTTCATTGTCATTTGTTTCTAGGTATTTTTAATTTCCTTTTTGATGCCTTCAGTGACCTGTTGGTTATTTAGAAGCAGGTTGTTTAGCCTCCATGTTTTTGTGTTTTTTAGTTTTTTTCCCTGTAATTCATATCTAGTCTCAGAGCATTGTAGCTCAGAAAAATGCTTGATACAATTTCAGTTTTCTTAAATTTCCTGATGATTGTGACCAAAGATGTGATCTATCCTGGAGAGTGTTCCATATGCACTTGAGAAAAAAGTGTATTCTGCTGTTTTGGAAAGGGAATCTTATTTTTAAATGAATATTTTAAAAATTCTCCTTTGATATTTTTTAAAAACATATTCTGCTTTTAATATTTTTAAAAAGCAGAGGATTGCTGGGTAATGTGAAAAGGAACTTCCAATTTATGTTCAATTTCAAATTTTCACCTAAAGCCCTTTTTCAGATAGTAAGTTACAGACTTTGGGGTCTACTCTTTACCTGTCTTTCTCAAATGCATAGGGAGAAGGCACATACAAATTCTTTCTGTACCTTTAGTAGGTAGTTGTAAGTGAAAGCACTTTCACAACTGGAATGCACTACTCCTTAGGAGATAATCCCTGTTCCACTAATGGTAATATCTGGGTTTGCATTCCATGAATTGCTCTGTAGTGGCTTTCACTCTCACCTGATTCTCCCCATTCTTAGAATAATTTCTGGCAAGTGTATCAAACATACATAGTTGACTCATTGAAGATACAGCTTTCTAGGTCTCTCCCAGAGATCTGTACTTGGCAGGTCAGAGCTTACACCTGGCCATCTCCATATTCAGCAACTTCCCTGCAGGATTAGGATGTACCCAATCCATAGGAGTTACCATGAGAAACATTCCTTTATCGTCTGTTTGGACTGTCAAGGCCCAGGAATAGAAAACTTCCAAAGCTGGGAAAGTGATCTTTATATGTAACATTGGTCTCAGGTGGCCTTGGCCTATAGCAGCTTGAAGCAGGGATTCTGTTCCCAGCCAGAGATTGAGGTCAGGCTACAGCGGTGAAAGAACTGAATCCTAGCCACTAGGCTGCCAAGGACCAGTGGGACCAAGGCCCTGGCCCATTAGCTGTATAGAAATGAATTTCCACATAGAGATCAAGATGAGTAAAGCAAGTGTTTATTAGGAGGAAAGAGTATATGTGAATAGACTCACACGGGTGGGCTCAGAGAGACAGTTGCACCCTCATGGTGGTTTAAATCACTTTCATGGAGCATTTCTTCTGGGTTTCCTTTGGCCAGTCATCTTGCTTTGTCTGGTTCTGAGTCCTTATTTGGTTTATCTCAGGATCCTTCCATGTGTGCACATGTATCTCTTAGCCAAGATGGATTCTAGTGAAGAGGCCTATGGGAAGGTTGACATCACTTACTATGAGCTTGAAACAGGAGATACATGGATCCAGGCTGAAGAGTTTCTCCCCTGTGGACAGAAATTCTATAATAGCAGAAACTCCATAAAAGCTGGATGATGGAAGAGGCTGGGCCTTGCCCAGATAAGAGATAAAAGACCATATTTTCCTCATTCTTGAAGTCAAGGAGACCTTCCTGACTACACAGGCACAGAAAGGCTCAATGGAGGTCAAAAGGGAGGGGGCATCACCTCAATTTCTGGCTGGGAACCAATGCCCTGCTTCAAGGCACTGTGGACTGAGGCTACCCAAGATCACCATGATGCTCCCTCTCCTATCTCTTATCTGGGCAGGGCCCAGCCTGCTCCATCATCCAGCTTTTATGGTTTCTGCTATTAATATTATGGAGTTTCTGTCCACAGGGGAGAAACTGTTCAGCCTGGGTCCCATGTATGTCCTGCCTCAACATGATAAAGAAACTTTCACTCCAGTTCCTGTCCTCTGGTATTCCAGAGAGGCAGAATCGTACTTGACATGTGTGTTGAAGACCCTCATTAAATGTTTACACTAATACAGTGGTTTTCAGGTTTTGTTCTGTGTAGCATCCACACAGCCTGAATTCACCCAGCCCACATCCCATATAAGCAATGCCATTTTTGTTTTAGGTATTGGGATTCCAAGTAAAAGTATTCAAGTGTTGAAAGAGGTCAAGGGCTTAAAACAAAGAGAAGCTTATTTGGTTAAATATATTCAGATGATTAAGGGTTTACTGTTATTTCACCACCTCAAGTAGAACTCATTTTAAAATTTTTGTCATTTCAATTTATAATTTAATGCATTGTTAGCACAACTAATCTCTTCTCCATAGGTTATGGTATATACATATTATGCCTTATCATGATATAACCTGTTTATTTTCTCTTTCCCTATGCTTCCTGGATTTCTCCTATCCTACTTGTTTCTCGTGCTTGTTTTATCTGTCAAGCTTATTGACTTCAGTAACTCAGTGAAGGTACAGAACTAGTTCTATGTTTTCTAGCATTATTGTATTGATGATTTCAATAAATTGTAAAGTCATGACAAAATCCAGTTCATCCATATTCAAGGCAGACATAAGGTCAGATAGGTGGACTTTTCTGGGAAAAGAAACTGTTAAATTAGAAGATAGAGATTTGTGTCACATTCTTACAAAATCCAATGCAAATATTCTTCCACACATGGGACAATAGGATACATTTATGCTTTGTAAACGTGATCTCACTGATATTTGCAATTCATTTTTAGGATTCCAAAGCCTATTTTCATCTTCTCAATCAAATTGCACCAAAAGGACAAAAGGAAGGTGAACCACGGATAGATATTAACATGTCAGGTTTCAACGTAAGTATAGGTGTTCTTGTGAATTCTACAAGCTAACAAAATTGTCAATTTCTTATAAATAACAAGAATGCTTATAATTGTATGTTATGATGTTGGCAGTTTTAAGTATTATCTTAAATTTTGTTACGGTAGATGTAATTTATAGACAGAAAGATCAGCTTTGATTTATGTTAATAGTTTGTTAGTGAGTTCTTTAGTTATGGTGGTGTTGGTTTTTATGGATGGCATAAAATATTCAGAGTAAGTGTGGGGAAATAAGCACTAGAGGCTAACCTTTTCTGAGTTTTTGGATTATAATCACAATGATAGATTTAATGAAAACATATTCATATGTGCATCTGTAATATTCTTATGTTGAGAGTAATGTGAATGTGTTTACAAACTCCTGATCCCTGAAATCCAATTTGGTGAATTACTGTCACAGACCATGTTCCCTTGTTACATCACTTTTTTGCTCAACGACCTTGGACAAGTTCCTTTGTTCATACATGAAGTAACAAGTTGGCCAAGACTATGAGTCTCAACTTTCTAGGATCCTGTTGTTTTTTGTATTCATTAGATATGGAATGGATTCTACTGATTTTTAAAAAATGCACATTTCTAGCATATTTCATATTCACTTCAGGATTGAGTAGATTACACTTGCTAAACCTTTTATGCTGCCCTTACCAGAACTGAATTTGTCACTGACTTGTAATACTTGTATTTCTATCTGTTTTTAAATGTGAAATTCTTCACTTCAGGTCACTTTTGGTACAAATCAGGAGCCCTTCTGTGTGTGAAGGAAGCTCTCTGGGATGACTATCCAGGTGATCTTATGCCTAGGTAGATAATACCAGTGTACTGATTCTGATTATGATACAGCTGTTCTCTAGTCATGTCTGCCTGGCTGATCTTAAGCACTCCTTCATTGTCTCTATCCTCCTCATAATCCTTTAAGGACTCCCCATTGACTCAAGAGTTCAGTCTGAAATGTCCTGCTGAGCATGTGAAGCCCTGCTACACGTGTACATCTTGCTCCATCTCTTCTAGCCAGGGCAATTTCTTACTGCTCTGTCCACACACTCATTTTACTGTTGAGTCTTTCATCATGCTTTTCCCTTGTTTTTCAGTGTCCTTTATCTTTGTCAGTCTTATATCTTCTTTAGGGATCTATATCTCCATCGTAACATCCAGTTTCCTCACGATCCTTTGTGATTCCTCTCTGCCCCCATACTCCTCCATCCTAGGCAACCACTGATTTGCTTTCTTTCAATTTAGTTTGAATTTTTGAAAATTTTATGGAATCATATAACAGGTGCTCTTTTTTTAAATCAAGCTTCTTTCAGCATTATTACTTTGAAATTCATCTGTGTTGTTACATAAATCAGAAATTCATTCCTTTTTTGTTGCTGAATAATATTCCAGTGGATGGATATGCTATAATTTGTTATCCATTCACCGTGATGAACATTTGGATTGTTTCCAGTTTGGGGCTATTACAAATACAGCTGCTCTGAACATTCATATACAAGTCTTTGTGTGAGTTTATGCATTCATTTATCTTTGGTAAATACCTAGGAGTGGAATGGCTGGGTAATGGTATATGTGCATTTAACTTTTCTAAGCAGCTGCCAAGTTGTTTTCCAAAATGGTTATACCATTGCACATTGCTACCAGTAGCACATGAAGGTTCCAGTTCATCCACATGCTCACTGACACTTTAATGTGGCTAGTTTAAACATTAAGAATTTTAACGGTGGTAGAGGTGTCTCATTGTGATTTTAGTTTGCATTTCCCTAATGACAAAGGATGTTGAACATCTTTTCATGTAGTTATTTGCTGTTTATACATCTTTGTTTAAATACTTTACCTATTTTAATCGCACTGTTTGTTTTCTTATCAAGTTTTGAGTGTTTTATATATTTTGGATAAAAGTCCTTGATTGGATATGTGATTTGCAGATACTTAGTCCCAGTGTTTTTCCAAAAACAGACATTGTTTAATTTGGACAAAGTCAGATTTACAAATCATGCTTTTGATGTTGTATCTAAGAAATTTTAGCCGAACACAAGGTCACAAACATTTCTTCTTATGTCTCTTCTTAGAGGTTTTATAGTTGGGGTTTTATATTTAGTTTTATATTTATAGTTTTGGGCTCATACATTTACATGTGTGTGTATATTGAAGGTTAATTTTGAATATGATGTGAGGTATGGGCTGAAGTTGTTTTGGGCATATATATATTTTTTTATTTGATTATTTTTTGTTTCATTATTCTGTATCCTAATTTTTGAAAATTGTTGCTATTTCAGTGTTTCATTCTACTCCAATATTATTAATGCTTTTTGTTTAAGAATGCCAAAATGATTAAAAAAATATGGGACTTAAAAATAAAGATAGTAAATAGCACAAACCAGAAGTATTAAAGTAACAAGTGACAGATTAAAAGAAATAGAATAGGCTCTATGAGATGAACTCACTAGGCTCATGGAGAATCCCAAAGGCTGAATCCCAGTCAGTTGCCCATCTGCTGGTGGTTACTGATTGCTCTGCAATGGTAACAGTGAAGGGTAACACAGTAAATACCCATTCTTCTAGAGACCTAGATGATTGAGGCATCTCACTGGAGATGAAAAAAGTAAAGATAGCATCACCCATTAAAGACAGAGTTAAGACTCTCAAATTATAGAATCTGAACTGTGTTGGTTTATAAGTAACATTTCTCAAATTTCCTTTATCTCTTATTTCCCCCTTATTATAAAAATCCCTTCTTACCTGAAACTGTTTTCCAGAAGAGCTACATTTACCCTGGGGCATACTGGGGTGGCCATGTCTATAGTAGCTGCCAAGAGAAGTCTGGAGAGGGCAGGTCACTAGAAACGGATAATCCAAAAGCAATTGTTCCTCCTGCAGCTCCAGGTTTTTGACTTTTATTATTGGGAGGTGGGAATGGTGAGCACTTGGGAAACTATCTTTAATTTGGTCTGAAATTATCAGATCTATAACTTATAATCCTCACCAAACTGTATGGTAGTCAAGAAATCAGCATGCATCTTTCCAAAAGGAAAGAAGTTGGGGTGGGGGAGAAGACAAAACAAAGAAATTAGGAGTCCTAGGAATTAGTTGAAAGTAAGTATTTTACACAGAAATAGACAACGTTGCTTCCTGGATGGAAAAGTAAAAACAAAAAATAGTTTGAGAAAGATGATAATTTGAAATATGCAATTTAAACCTCAGAATTATTGGAGCCTGGTATCCTTGATTATTATCTTAAAAAATTTCTTCATAATTCCTTCATATTTTTCAGCCTTACACTCTCTTTAGGGCTTAAATTTAAAATCTGAACAGGTTTCACTTTTTTCTTAATGAATTTTGGCATGAGAGAAGTGATCTCAGTTGAGTGAAATCTATTCTGTCCTTAGATACATGATCTGGTGCCATCTAGGGTATTTTCAAGGTACTGCATATCCAGCACAGCCAACATTTTTTTTTTTTTTTGCATTCAAAACAGTACCATGTGTTGGCTAAGAGAAAATAGAATTATATACCCAGCCTATCATTGTAGGGCAAAGTTTCTATATTTTTAGTATGACCTTTGAAAAAAAAAGTCTTCTTATTTTACTTCAACAGGAAACAGATGATTTGAAGAGAGCTGAGAGTATGCTTCAACAAGCAGATAAATTAGGTTGCAGACAGTTTGTTACTCCAGCTGATGTCGTCAGTGGGAACCCTAAACTGAACTTAGCCTTTGTGGCTAACCTGTTTAATAAATACCCAGCACTCACTAAGCCAGAGAACCAAGACATTGATTGGACTCTATTAGAAGGTAACTAAAGGTTTCTTAAATTATGTTTGGGACTACACAGTGGAAATACATAGGCCATGATGATTTCATAATCTTGATTTAATAAGTTCCCTTATCCATTTTCCTTTAGCAACTGTCTACTAGAAGTAGTCCCAAGGGCTGAGTAATAACTGGCAACTGATAGAAATGGATGATAACAAGGGAACTTTTATTTTAATTTACTTATTTTTGGCTGCTCTGGGTCTTTGTTGCTGCATGACAGCTTTCTCTAGTTGCTGCACCCAGAGGCTACTCTTTGTTGTGGTGCTCAGCCTTCTCATTGGGGTGGCTTCTCTTGTTGAGGAGTGTAGGTTCAGTAGTTGGGCTTCATTACCCCACGGTATATGGAATCTTCCCAGACCAGGGATCGAACCTGTGTCCCCTGCTTTGGCAGGAGGACTTTTATACACTGTACCACCAAGAAAGTCTGGGAACTTTTAAAGTAAGCTAGCCTAGGATCACTTAGTATAAGGCCACTTAGTAAACCAATATTTTATTTTAATATTTTATATTTAGGTCACTTATTTTTAAACTTCCCTCCAAAAAAATGCACATGTGCATAAAATTTGACCTATATAAATCTGCATTATTGTTTCATTCTTCCACAGTCAGACTAACTGAAACTGCTCTCAGTTCCTTTCACCTTTAACCTACTCAAAAAATAGTAATGCATGTAAATATTCATTTAATTTGGGAAAGGCAGAGTATACCTTTGCCAGATTATATATGCATGAAGTATAGTACTTAAAAATTAACAAATGTAATTAGTAGCTCATTGCATATCCACTAGCATTATTATGAAATCAGATGGTAAAGAATCTGCCTGCAGTGCAGGAGACCTGGGTTCAATCCCTGGGTTGGGAAGATCCCCTGGAGAAGGGAATGGCTACCCACTCCAGTGTTCTTGCCTGAGAAATCCATGGACAGAGGATTCTGGCAGGATACAGTCCATGGAGTTGCAAAGAGCTGGACACAACTTAGCAACTAATACTTTCAACTCTCAATTAGCAGCTCATTGCATATATACTAGGATTAGTATAAAATCTTTAAACTCTATGCTTTTGAAGTTTCAAATAATTTGTTGCTCTAATATAGGCATGTAAAAAAAGTACATATATGTAACTTAGTATCAATATTTTTAAATGGGTAGAGAGAAGATGTAAATTAATGTGAGTATAGAGGTTTGTGTGACCATGGCAAATGTTTCTAATAAAAACTAAACTGATAATATCAGTTACTTTAGAAGTATGGGGATTTGGGGAGATACTGGAGAAGGATGAGATGGAGAAGAGATTATAAAAAGTTCCTATACCTCTTAGCTGGTTATAATAAGGTTATATTTTTACTTTTAAAATAAAGTCATCCAATTTAAGAAACAAGAGAGAATGTATTCAGAGAGACTGCTTGATGATTCATATTGGAGAAAACCTCTAGATCTGAAAAAAAAAAATAAAATGATCCTCTACATAGAAAACCCTAAAGACTCTACCAGAAAATTACTAGAGGTAATCAATGAATATAGTAAAGTTGCAGGATATAAAATTAATACACAGAAATCCCTTGCATTCCTATACACTAACAATGAAAAAACAGAAAGAGAAATTAGGGAAACAATACAATTCACCATTGCAACAAAAAGAATAAAATACTTAGGAGTATATCTACCTAAAGAAACAAAAGACCTATACATAGAAAACTATAAAACACTGATGAAAGAAATCAAAGAGGACACAAACAGATGGAGAAACATAGCGTGTTCATGGATTGGAAGAATCAATATTGTCAAAATGGCTATTCTACCCAAAGCAATCTATAGATTCAATGCAATCCCTATCAAGCTACCAACGGTATTTTTCACAGGACTAGAACAAATAATTTCTCAATTTGTATGGAAATACAGAAAACCTCGAATAGCCAAAGTAATCTTGAGAAAGAAGAATGGAACAGGAGGAATCAACCTGCCTGACTTCAGACTCTACTACAAAGCCACAGTCATCAAGACAGTATGGTACTGGCACAAAGACAGAAATATAGATCAATGGAACAGAATAGAAAGCCCAGGGATAAGTCCACGAACCTATGGACACCTTATCTTTGACAAAGGAGGCAAGGATATACAATGGAAAAAAGACAACCTCTTTAACAAGTGGTGCTGGGAAAAGTGGTCAACCACTTGTAAAAGAATGAAACTAGAACACTTTCTAACACCATACACAAAAACAAACTCAAAATGGATTAAAGATCTGAATGTAAGAGCAGAAATTATAAAACTCCTAGAGGAGAACATAGGCCAAACACTCTCCGACATAAATCACAGCAGGATCCTCTATGACCCACATCCCAGAATTTTAGAAACAAAAGCAAAAATAAACAAATGGGACCTAATGAAACTTAAAAGCTTTTGCACAACAAAGGAAACTATAAGCAAGGTGAAAAGACAGCCCTCAGATTGGGAGAAAATAATAGCAAACGAAGCAACAGACAAAGGATTAATCTCAAAAATATACAAGAAACTCCTGAAGCTCAATTCCAGAAAAATAAATGACCCAATCAAAAAATGGGCCAAAGAACTAAACAGACATTTCTCCAAAGAAGACATACAGATGGCTAACAAACACATGAAAAGATGCTCAACATCATTCATTATCAGAGAAATGCAAATCAAAACCACAATGAGGTACCATTACACGCCAGTCAGGATGGCTGCTGTCCAAAAGTCTACAAGCAATAAATGCTGGAGAGGGTGTGGAGAAAAGGGAACCCTCTTACACTGTTGGTGGGAATGCAAACTAGTACAGCCACTATGGAAAACAGTGTGGAGATTTATTAAAAAACTGGAAATAGAACTGCCATATGACCCAGCAATACCACTTCTGGGCATACACACTGAGGAAACCAGATCTGAAAGAGACACATGCACCCCAATGTTCATCGCAGCACTGTTTATAATAGCCAGGACATGGAAGCAACCTAGATGCCCATCAGCAGACGAATGGATAAGGAAGCTGTGGTACATATACACCATGGAATATTACTCAGCTGTTAAAAAGAATTCATTTGAATCAGTTCTGAGATGGATGAAACTGGAGCCCATTATACAGAGAGAAGTAAGCCAGAAAGATAAAGAACATTACAGCATACTAACACATATATATGGAATTTAGAAAGATGGTAATGATAACCCTATATGCAAAACAGAAAAAGAGACACAGATGTACAGAACAGACTTTTGGACTCTGTGGGAGAAGGCGAGGGTGGGATGTTTCAAGAGAACAGCATGTATATTATATATAGTGAAACAGATCACCAGCCCATGTTGGATACATGAGACAAGTGCTCATGCCTGGTGCACTGGGAAGACCCAGAGGGATCAGGTGGAGAGGGAGGTGGGAGGGAGGATCGGTATGGGGAATACATGCAAATCCATGGCTGATTCATGTCAATGTATGACAAAACCCACTGCAATGTTGTAAAGTAATTAGCCTCCAACTAATAAAAATAAATGAAAAAAAAAGTTCCTATACCTCTTAGCTGGTTATAATAAGGTTATATTTTTACTTTTAAAATAAAGTCATCCAATTTAAAAAACAAGGGAGAATGTATTCAGAGAGACTGCTTGATGATTCATATTGGAGAAAACCTCTAGATCTGAAAAAAAAAATCTAATTGTGGGTTGATGTTATATGTACATATGCAAGGTGTTTAATGATTATATAAACACTGTGAATATTTTTAATAGGAGAAACTCGTGAAGAAAGAACCTTCCGTAACTGGATGAACTCTCTTGGTGTTAATCCCCATGTAAACCATCTCTATGCGTAAGCCTTCCAATGCTATTATAAAGTTTTGAACATCATGAATGGATGCTGCATAAATAATTATAGCTCTAAACCTTTTCTAAATGTTAGTTTGTAGCCATTACTTTATTGGAAAATGTGGTGACTTCCATTATCATTTCCCAAATACACAAAAGCCCAGACATTACGTGAAAGAATGTGTAAATATCTTTCTAACACCCTAGGGAACAGAGACTTTATATTTTGAAATGGAGACCAGAGAGTACATTAAGTAGACCATCCATGGTGCCTTGAGCTCTTTGTGCTCACTGTTCTCTCAGCCTGGAATGTTCTTTTCCACATCAAATGCCTTATTCCCTTGCTATATTCAAGCCACTGATTCAGATCCTAACCACCACCTACCACTGCCTAACTCCTAACCTCGTTCTTTTTGTTTTTCATAGCAATTAAATACATTCCCCTAACCCACTTATCCATATACTTGTTTATTCTCTTTCTTTCTCCAACTCTAAAGGCCTGGGATTTTTCTCCTGTGAGCCCAGTTTCTAGAACAGTTCTTTGTAAACAATAAGCTCTCAATAACTACTTTTAAGTGAATTGGATGATGTTATCTCTGTTTTTAGCACAGATTAATAAAATGCATGAGTCTTTTGACAGTGTAGTGTCCTTGTTTTTAAGGAAACAGGCTCTGCTCTCTGAAAACACTGATCAAACTCTTTTTAAATCATCAGTGACCTGCAAGATGCCCTGGTAATCTTACAGCTATATGAACGAATTAAAGTTCCTGTTGACTGGAGTAAGGTGAATAAACCTCCATACCCGAAACTTGGAGCCAACATGAAAAAGGTAGTTAATTAAGTTGCTGCACATATTTGTTACAGACTGTTTTTATTCTCAATTTGTTTCTTTTGTTTGGGAAACTCTTTGAGCTTCTTGAGGACAGAAACTGTCTTACTTTGTGCACACCTGCATATACAGATTAAACAAGTGAAAATCTTTAAACATTTGCTTTTGTTTGTTTGCAGCTAGAAAACTGCAACTATGCTGTTGAATTAGGGAAGCATCCTGCCAAATTCTCGCTGGTTGGCATTGGAGGGCAAGACCTGAATGATGGAAATCAAACCCTGACTTTAGCTTTGGTCTGGCAGCTGATGAGAAGGTATGGTACACAATTTTAACTGCTTAAGCTTCACTATCATACAGGTCTGTGATCTAGTCTTTACTACTTCTAAGGAAACATATCAATGACTACACCTTTGAAATTTTTGTGTTTAGATTCTGAAGTGAGCTTAAGTAATGAATATATGTTAGATGGTCAATGGGAAATGCCTTCTTGAAAGTGAGGCAGCAAAACTGTGAATATTTCCCTTTTTTCATAATATGCCTGACACAGACCTGAGCCTCATTTTGCGTTGGTGAGTAAAAACAGCAAAAATTATGAACATGTATACATTTGAGAAAGATCTCTTAACTGTAATGCTAAAAAGCAATTCATTATAACTGGGTACCAGCCAAAGCACAGCTTGCTTTAAGTCATTACCATGGGTTGGCCTAGTACAAAGTGAGCCTGCAGTAGACTGGTGAACTTACTCTTCCTGCCACCAGTGCAAAAAGCAGCTCAATGGCAAGTCACTACTACTTGAAATTCTTTTTTTTTTCCATATAGTGTGAATGTCTTCTTGTGAAATCTTTTCTTTAATCTCAAACCTAAGGAAAAGAAATGAAAGATAAAGCATTTTTCTAATATTTGTATTTTTTCTAATAAATTAGAACGGAACCTGTTCTGCTGCTTTTTTAAATTAATTTTTATTGGTGTTTAGTTGCTTTACAATGTTGTGTTAGTTTCTGCTATACAGCAAAGTGAGTCAGCTATGTGTTTAAATATATCCCATCTTTTTCAGATTTCCTTCTGATTTAGATCACCACAGAGCATTGAGTAGAGTTCCCTATGCTATACAGTAGCTTCTCATTAGTTACCTGTTTCTTCTGCTTCTTCATTTAGATATACCCTCAATGTCCTGGAAGATCTTGGTGATGGTCAGAAAGCTAATGATGACATCATTGTAAGCTGGGTGAACAGAACATTGAATGAAGCAGGGAAATCAACCTCCATTCAGAGTTTTAAGGTAAGAATTCCATGTTTGACTATTAAACGTTATGTTTGCTATAGAAAGTATCTATAGTTTAGAAGGCTAGCCTTTGGTTTCTTTGTGAGTGAGATCGTTGTGACATGATTCTTTTTTAATTCACTAGACTTTGTTTTTAACAGCTTTATATACATGATCATACATTAATTTGTACACATGGAAATTCTCAAATGTATTTACTCTAGGATAAGACGATCAGCTCCAGTTTGGCAGTTGTGGATTTGATTGACGCCATCCAGCCAGGCTGCATAAACTACGACCTTGTTAAGAGTGGCACTCTGACAGAAGATGACAAGCACAATAATGCCAAGTAAGGGATGCTGCCAAATATCCTGATAAGGGCATAGGCATTGTAGGCAGGCAGATCTGCATTATCATTCAGGTTCTGCCACTTAAGAATGGTGTCAGCTGGGGGAAATGTCTTCTAGCCTCAGATTCCTTGTCGATAAAATGGGAGCAATAATACTTACCTTGGAGATTTTGAAATGAGTAAAATACATAAGAGCCTAGCATTGTTGCACCTGACCTAGTAGGTAGGTGCTCAGTCAGCCACTGGTTTGTAGGTTATAGAAATAATGTATGTGTTAAAGCAACTTAGCTGCAAACTTAAAACAAGGAAAAAATGGGCAAAGGATAAGCATGCCTTTGATAGGGTTTTCTTTTGTTGCACTCTTTAAACATTTTAAAAACTTACTGTGCATAGCCCACCTTACTACATACATTGAGTTTATTATCTTCGTCCCTTAATTGAGCAGGATGCTAAACCGTCAGCTGAAACCATACCTTGAAAGTTTCCTGCATTTTGACAATATTGAGAAGGTCTTTTCCACCTGCCTCTTCCCTTCTCCAAAGACCTGGACTGTGATCTGCTTTCATGGGCAACCCGTGAAAGCTTTCCTAGTATCCACTGAAAATCAGCTCCCAACAGGACTTCACAAGATAGCTAAGAAGCATTACTGCAAAACTTCATTTTGGCATCACATACTGTGTCAAATCATTTATTCCCTCCTTGAAAAAAAATTTGCAGCATAATATGATAAAGATTTATAGAGAGCTCTTCAAACTTCTTTTTCCAGAAACTTGATCATATTTAAAGATTCATGTTACAGAACACCTAGAAACACCTTGTGTATTAATTGAGGGGTGCTCCTGCAAATTTCCTCAGCTGGACTTGTCAGTTCTTAACTCCTTTCCCTTCTCTACCCTTTTCATTCCTTGCTTCAGCCGCTCTGACATGTGCCATATAGACTCTGTCTCTTCCCTTGAATATTTGGAAGTATTCACTGCATCTATGAAATTGTATTTTGCATCTGGCACAGTTTTCCACTGTGTCTCTGAGATCTCATTATAGCCACTGTTATCTTATTTCATGCTCAATGAGAATATCAACATCTGAGTGTATACACACACACACACACACACACACACACACACACACATTCTGGAAAAATGTTTTTTCATATCAGTGCTCCTAAATTGTTCTCATTTTACATTGTAGGAAAGGAGTGAATAAATATTATCAGCCCCAAATAGTAGAGCTAAAAAATCTGATATCACGTATGAGTAACCTCACAAAATAAAAGAGAAAACAATGAAAAATGAAGTCATTCTGATTTGAACTCTTGCTGTAGAAGTTTTGTATCCCAGACAATTGAGTATATGAGAGGAAATAGATGCCTCATGTTGTGCCCTTGACTAACCAGAAATGAACCTCAATTTTTGTTTCCTCCAAAAAATAGGTACGCAGTGTCAATGGCTAGAAGAATTGGAGCCAGGGTGTATGCTCTCCCAGAAGACCTTGTGGAAGTAAAGCCCAAGATGGTCATGACTGTGTTTGCATGCTTGATGGGCAGGGGTATGAAGAGAGTGTAAAATAACCAATTTGAATAAAAAACAACCTTGCTCCCAGGTGCATGATTAGCAGTACAGCAATTTCTGGCTGAAGTGCTCATGGCTTAAGAAACTATTGGTTTTTGAAAGGACTTTTTAGTTTTAACAAGACTAAGCTCATCATGGGAGCCCTCAGGTGAAAGAGTTTTAGTAACAACATCTCCTCTTTCCCGTAGTCAAGGTGGATTTGTCAGGCCCACCTGAAATGTGCCCCTAGTCAAATCATTTACTCACTCCTCCTAGATCGCTGCCCTTGACATTTCCCATTGCTGTACGTATTTCTATGTATCTGTTTTCCTCTTAGAATGTCCGTCTCCTGGGACTTGCTTAAATGATTGAATATGAATATTATTGGTATTAGACAATAATTTGCTTTCCATCCAGTATGCTAGTTCTTATTCAAGAACTGTGGTCAGAGGGTATTTGTATATGAGTATCCTTTGCTTATCTTTCTAGTACTGAAAATTGACAGAAGTAACTGGCTGTGCAGAATGTAATAGAAGCTTTTCATATTCTTTTATTCTTAAAATCAGTATCTTTTTACAGTATTCTTTCTACATGATCCTTTTTTGTACATTTAAGAATATTTTGATTACATTAAATAAGACTGCTGATTTTGCTACTTTTTTTTAAGGGATCTTCAAGTAAGTAAAAAACATACATTATAGGTAGAGGGAAATGTACCTTGAATTTCCATCTTCCCTCTCACACTAAAGCTGTAAACACTTGACATATTTTGTCCTGAAACACTTGGTTCAATATATGCTTATTTGTTTTAAAACATGTACCATCAAACTCTCTCTTTAGATTTAAAATGCTGTTGCATATGACACTTTTGAGGAGAGAGTGGGCTCAGAATTTAGGAAGGATATGGTAGGCCAAGTATGCTAAGTGTATATTAAATTTTCTAATTTTACACCTAAGGTAAGGAGATGTGGTCACTAAAAAATAGACATATATGTAGGACTTAATGTATTCTAATGTACTCTTGCTTTGTCAAGCTGTTTGCTATAGTTTTTAAGATCATAATGTTACTCTAACTCTGAAAATTGTTGTAATCTGGTAGCAATGTATTAGTTCAAATAAAGGCATTTACATAATTAGTCTCTTCACGCCTCTGTCCCTTTGTAGTATGCCTATAATGTTTGCCAGATTTTTTTCTCCAATATTCTAACTCATTTTCTGGTATACTTTATAAAATGATGTTTGTTAAATTTATGTTTTTGGAGCTGAATTACACGGATGGACAGATTAAGGGTTATAATCATCAATGAAGTAAGGTGGTTTTCTCCAACTTACCAAAATTTCCTTATCCAGTTTCTCCCTTTTTCTTTCTTTTCCATGTCACTCAATCTTTTCAGTGTTCAGTAATGACATGGTATTTGTTTGCGTGCGTGCTCAGTCACTTCAGTCTTGTCCGACTCTTTGCGATCCTACGGACTGTAGCCCGCCAGGCTCCTCTGTCCAGGGGATTCTCCAGGCAAGAATACTGGAGTGGGTTGTCATTCCCTTCCCCAGGGGATCTTTCCGACACAGGGATAGAACCTGCAACTCCTGCATTGCAGGCGATTCTTTACTGCTGAGCCACCAGGGAAGCCTGTTCTATGATATACAGAAGGTCAAAACAATGGGTATCCGAACAACCAGGAAGGAGAAGTGGTTTATGACAGGTTTTCTTAGCCTCATCACTATTGACATTTTGGGTCGGATAATTCTTTGTTGGAGGTGGGAAGGAGCTGTCCTGTGCATTATTGCAGGGCATTTAGCTGTGTTCCTGGCCTCTATCCACTAGATGTCAGTAGCATACCCCCAGTGTGTAGACCAAATATGTCTCCAGAACTAGCCAAATGTTCCAAGGTGGGGGCAAAATCATCTCTAGTTGATGAACTGTTGTTTATTTTAATGTTTTGTGTGAATGAGTAATATGAAATGCAATCCTTTAAGGAACTACATGGTGATAACTATAAAATATTTTTTACTTATAGCCTAAGAATAAGAAAAACCTCTCTTAATAGTATCTAAACCCCAGAGACATAAAAGAAAGAAAGAAGTGACAATTCTGCTTTTGCAATAAATGAGTAAGCAAAGTCAGAATATAGATGACTAAGAAAAAAAGTTTGGTCCCATTGTCTTAGTCTATTCAGGCTGCTGTAACATGGTATCATAGACTGGGTGATTTATAAATACCAAATTTATTTCTCACAGTTAGACAGTCTGGAAGTCCAAGATCAAGGTACTGGCAGGTTTGCTGTGTGGTGAGAGCACACTTCCTAGTTCATAGATGGCTGTCTTTTAGCTGTAACCTCACATTGTGATAGGGACAAGGAAGCTCTGGAGTCTCTTTAATAAGGGCACTAACCCCACTCATGACTTCACCTTTATAACTTAATGTCCCACCTCTTAATACCATCACACTGGGAGATTATGTTTCAACATACAAATTTTGGAGGCGCCTGAAACATTTAGTCTATAGTACCCATATGATGGATTTTCTTAACATAAGGCTAAAAGACCAGTCTCTGCAAATATTTACCAGGGTAACTGATAAGACAGGACAGTTGTATCTTATGACCTGTCTTTTACTTTGTATTTCCTATGCTTATCTACATTTGTTTCCTTCCAGGTACAAAAGTTCTCTGCAAGTAATGCCTTGAGTGGCTTTAAAGCAAGATATTAATAAAAAGACTTATTCCATCTTGCCCCTTATTCAAAACAGGAGCTAGTTTCTTGGGTGGTTCACTGTACAAAGCCCACCATCTGTAGGAATGCACCTTTGGTTACTTAAGTGTTCACATGAAACAGTTGGCCTGAACACACCATTTCTTCTTTCCTCCAAATAAAGGGCTAAAAGCACTAATATATTAAGAAATCTAACAAATCTATAAAAGAGAAAGTTCCATTAGAAAAATGGGCAAAGGAGATCAATATCCAATTCAAAGCCTATAATTAAACAAAGAACATTAAAAGGGAATGCTGATTCTCAAAAAGTAACAAGGGCTATGTAGTTTCAACCAACAAAGAGCTGCCTTTTTTAGTAGACTTTATTTTTAGAGCAATTTTAGGTTCACAGCGAAATTGAGTAAAATGTACAAAGATTTTCCATATACCTCCAGCCCACACACATGCATGAGCCTCCCTCACTAACAACATCCCCCACCAGAGTGGTGCATTTGTTATAGTTGATGAACCTACATGGACACATCCATAATCACCTAAACTCCATAGCTTACCTTGGATATTCTGTGGATTTTGACAAATGTGTAATGACATGAACCTACCTTTATAGTATAATATATAGGATTTTCACTGCTCTAGAATCTTCTGTTCTCTGCCTTGCCATCCCTCCCTATTCCTAACCCCTCGAAACCACTGATCTTTTTATGGTCTTCTTAGTTTTGCCTTTTCCAGAATGTCAGAATCATATAGTATAGCCTTTTCAGGTTGTTTTCTTTCACTAATAGGCATTTAATAGAACTGTCTTTTTTTTATGAACTGCCTGCCATTGACTTTTTTAAAAAGTAATTAATAAATTATTTGATGCTGATAAAGGTATGAGCATACAGGCATTCTCTGACACCACAGATGGAAGAGTGATCAGTTTATAGATTGTTGAAGGCAACTTGGTAATTACAGAGAAACCAAAAACTAGCATATCCTTCAATTCTGCAGCCAGCAAATACAGCAGTGTGTACAGTAATATAATAAAGGGTTGGTGAGGTAAATGTGGTTCATCTACACAATGCAATATTTATGTAGTTGTTAAAAAGATGGCTGTGGCTCAGAGCACTGGTTTTGAGTGCTCTGCTTCATGCATAAAACTTCCACTGGTCATCTATTTTACATATGGTAATATACATGTTTCAATGCTATTCTCTCAAATCATCCCACCCTTGCCTTCTCCCACTTAGTCCAAAAGTCTGTTCTTTATGTAGAATCTGAAAAAAAGGTGGGGTACAAATATTTACAAACCAGAAGTAGAGTCACAAATGTAGAAAACAAAATTTTTGGTTCCTGCAAGGAAAGGAGGGGATAAATTGGGAAATTGGGATTGACATGTAACACTACTATATATAAAATTGACATTTACACACTGCTGTATATATAAAATAGATAACTAATGACAACCTACTGTATAGCACAGAGAGCTTTACTCAATACTCTGCACTGACTTGTATGGGCAAAGAATCTAAAAAAAGAGTGGATATATGTATAACTGATACACTTTGCTGTACAGCAGAAACTAACACAATATTGTAAGCCAAATATTCTCCAATAAAAAGTTTAAAAAATAAAAAAAGATGGCTGTGGCTCTATAATGACAAGGAAAGATGCCCTGTGTTAATCCCATTTTAGAAAAATAAATGATAGTATATATATAGATAGATAGATAGATAGATAGATAAAAGTTAGAAATTCCCATAAGTATATTTGTGGAGTTATACTTGGAGGGATGGAGTATGATAAGGTTTTTACTTTTTATATTACATATTTCTATAATATCAGAAGGTTGAGATTAAAATACACTATTACCATAATCAGGCATATAACAGAATTTTATTTAACCTACAATGAAGTTAAGAGTGTTACAGTGAATATGTATATATTCTTTGCCTAAATTCCTCAGTTGTTAGCATTTTGACATAGTTGTTTTGTATCTGTGTGTTTTTTTGCTGAACCATTTGAAAGTAAGTTGTAGATATTGTGACATTTTACTCTTAAATATTTCATCATAAATCTGAAAATAAGGACATTTTCCCACATGCTAGAACAACATTGTCATGATATCTCCAAAATATAACAGATATGTCTAATACAAAGTCTAAATTCAAAATTTCCAGATGATTCCAAAAATATATTTTTTAAAAAAATTTTCTTGGCAGATAGTTAATTTTCAATGTTGTATTAGTTTCTGGTGTACAGCAAAGTGATTCAGTTATACATATATTCATTCTTTTTATATTCTTTGCTCATATAGGTTATCA